AATGATCGATATAAATTTGCACCGAAATCATCAATGAATTCTTTGCAGTAGGCTCACAGATCGCAAATTAATCTTTTTATTTTGCAAGCAGCTGAAATTGGTTAATTTTGATAAAGTTTTTCTTCTGAGAAGAGGAATACGAACGTTTAGTTAATAACTCAAATTTGGGATCATTTTATTTCGCCATATAATGAATAATTATAAATATGATGAATTGATCTTGCTTTGTCTAAAATATAAATAAATTATTCATATTTACATAATGCTCAGTCATTCATGTAAATGCAAATAATGTTAATATTGGTAATATTAACAAAAACCTATTATATCTACTATATATATCTATTTGGTTATTATTATATATAAGTTCATTTTTTGATTCTATTGATACTTTTGTCTATTGATATTGATATTGACACTAATCCGATAGATAATTCTCAAATATTGACCAGTGAATTTAATTTAACCAAAAAAATAGTAATTATTAATCATAGGATTCGAGTAAATTTGTATTACGAGTAGTAAACGTTGCCCGCACTATGATTAATAAATAATATTATCGTTCAGCCCAATAGGATCATGCAGATTTTCATAGACTAATATTTTTATTAAACATAGCAATAACGCATGATTGATATAATAAAGTGAAGTAAAAAATATGGTGTAAATGAATATTTTGCAGGAAAAGCTAATAAAGTGGATTAAAAATAGCATAAAAATGAAATTTATAGTAAGCTAAATAAAGCTTATTTATGATGTTATTAATTAATGCATGATCAAAAATGTCAAACGATAACACCATTATTAGATGTGGGCTATATCGGTCACAAAGACCTTCATTGATTGGTGAAAATTACTACTACATGGCCCATTTTCATCCAATCATTCGGTCCTATGATATTGCTACTCCTAACTATTATTTATTTGTTGTTATTTACAGATTAAAGCATATCCATTTTCTAAAGGGCTAAATCTCCATTCAAATCTTTTTTTTTTTTTTAAATGCAAAAAATGCAAAAGTAAATGTGGTGGAATGATTTGAATGGAGGTAGTTGATATTTAATAATCATTGATAAAATAAACATAAATTATTTAATTTATTGTGAAAGATTAGGATTTATATTACGAATAAAAATCAATTAGGTTAATTGCGGAAATCAAAAGTGAAGAAAAAAAATAACATGTTTGCTTATTAACGCTTATATAATTTGATAGAATATCATGTGATTAATCGCAATCATTTTCATCTCAAAAAAAAAAAATGAATTTTAGTTAACCTGATCTAACTACCTTAAGTATTAACCAAAACCATTTATTTTATTACACATAAAATGATATAATAAATGAAATTTCACCAAGAATTTATAACAATTATCATTGAGCAAAGACACATTGAGCGGAATATTTGCAGTTGCAAATATACTTATTGTATTACAGTTTTATGTTTAAAATCTTTATAGATTTTTATAATATATAGTACATATAGATTTATTGGATTTTATATTTAAGAATATTCTATATAAATAAAGTATAAATGAAAGAAAAATAGAAGTAACTAACTTCAATATATGATTAAACTATTTGACTTCAACTTTCATATAAAAAGAAACTTCATTCAGTATTATGTTCATCATCTTGGAAATTTCAAAAAAAATAAATTAGATATAAAATATCAATAAAATTACAACTTACCTAATTCACTTAATTTCGCAATCTAAGCATTCTGAAACTGTATTATGTATTTATAGTATTTAAACGTTAATAAATAATAAAATAATTATAATATAAAGGGAATACTTACTTGGATTTGCTGATGTTGATTGAGCAGTATAACTAGTGTCTATTAAAAATAGAAACAACATTAATAATGTAATATGGATTATATGATAAAACAAAATTAAATTTAATTACCTAAATCGAATTTAAAAGATGATAAATCTGAAAAATTTACTGGTATTGGAAGATTTTTGAAATTTAAAAGTCTACTAGTATAAATTGCTTGTGGATGCGTTTTGAAGCTTTTGGATTTATCTTCATTTGACCTGTTTTTGAATTTTTCTTCTCTAATTTTATCACATTCTTCTATTTGAAAATAAATTTCACTATTTTGACTATTGGCACCACCTTCTTCAAGTTCTAAAATTCCATCATCCCATTTTTTTAATAGTTGATGCAATTCTTTAGTGGTTGGTCTGTTTTTTATTTCAGCATCCCAACATTTTATTATCAAATCTGTAAGTATCTTTGGTATGTCATTAGAAATTGTTGGTCTAAGTCCTATACATATTTTAATAGCTAAAAATTCATCATGAGGAATATCATTAAAAGGAATTTCTTCAGAAAGAAATTCGTTCATTATTATTCCAAATGAGTAAATATCTGCTGCTTTTGTATATTGTTGTCCACGTAAAACTTCTGGTGCCATATATGGTAATACTCCATAAATTCCTTTTTCTTTAACTGTTTGCTTTATATTTGCTGGTTGACACATTCCTAAATCACTTATATATGTAGGACCAAATAATATATTACCTGAATGAAAATCTTTGTGAACTTTTTCAGCATTATGAATATCTAAAAGTCCTCTTGCAATTTGTTGTAATTGATCAATTTTTGATTTATAATTGATATAATCTTCAGATTTATTTAAATAATTTCTCAAATTTCCATCATAACAATATCTTATAACCATCATATACTCTTTATTATTTGGATCTTGAGTAATACCAAAACATTGAACAATATCATTAAGATAAATCTGAAGATGAGATTTAATCTAATTATCATTAAAAAGGAAAAATTTTATTATAAATAAATACAAATAACAATCTTTATATATAAGACAGAGTAAGTTTAAATTACCTCATTTAAAAAATCTGAACATATATCAGAAGAATTATTCAAACTTTTCAATGCATATTTATCATTTTGCTCTCTATACCATTTTTGATTTTCAATATCCCAATAATAAATATATCCTTCAGGCCATTCAGCTGAATAAATCTTACCAAAACCACCTTCCGCAATATAAGTGATATTTTGAAATTTTTCAAAAGGTATCCATTCAAGATATTTTTTATGATATACAGCATTAAGTTGTGATTGCTGTATAAATTTATCAATATCTTTATTTCCACTAGTCCAATTTTTAAAGTTATCTTTAAATCTTTTAGCATTACAAGATTGACACCATTTGTATCCTGTGCCAGGTTCTTTACATTCTCCACATATTCCATATGCTTGTTTTCTTTTTTCTAAATCTCTTATATAAACTAATCTTTCATCTACATTTTCTGATTCAATAGTTAAATCAATAGTAGGAATTGTAACATGGAGCTTTTAATAGACAAAAAATTATTGATATTTTTAACTACAAAAATTCAATAAAATAATTATAATTATTAAAAATATTAAATTGCCATTACCTGATATTCACTTAAATCAGTACTCTTCCATAAATTTTTTGGGGTTTCATTCATATTAAATTGAGCTGTGGATTATAATTTTAATTTTAGTTATATAAATAAATAACTACGTTACTCAAAATAAATTTCAGAATTATTATGGGGAAAAGAAAAAAATTATGAATTGAACGAAGTTCGACAAATTGCGCACATTTGTATAATTGTATTACTTATTTGTATTACTATTTGTACTACTATTGTATACAAAAATTACTATTTTTGTATCAAAGAAAATTCGTAAGCAGCAGCTGATCATTATAAAAAATAAATCTAACCCGAAATGGTTAAAATAAAAATGCGAAGTAAAATTATCGGTAATGTAGATCATATAAATTTTTTTCTGTATTTTTAAAAAAATAAATAGCAATAAGCCTATAAATAGAAAAAAATAGAAAAATCATTGCCAAATTATATCAAAAATAAATTAGTTTGAAATAAAAATTTTAATTAATTCGAGATCCGGCTATAAATCAGTGAAAATTACTATCAAAAAATGGGGCGAAATTTTGTAGATCATTAATGAAATTCATTTAATTGGCATTTTTGTGGATAAGGTATCATTGCATCAAGTATAACAAAATGAAAATGTTACGCAGTATTTTATAGCAGAAAACCACAGCTTTCGAATGCATTATTAATTTCCCTTCCGATGAAAATTAAAAAATGACTTGTCTTTGTGGCGACGGCAGATTCTTATTATTTACGAATTTTCACTGATCGACATCCGGATCACGAATTAAAATATTTTTAATTAATGAAAATCAAGGTGGATACGAATAATAATATTGTATGATTAGTTAAATGAACTTTGTCTATTAAATATGGTAAATGAAAGAAATATAAGATATTTCATACTATTATCCGTAGGGAAAAGATAATAATATTATGAACATTGAAGGAACCCCGAAATTTGTATTACTTACTATACGGTAAATGTGAAATTGTAAATTTTTAAATTTTTTTCAAAAATTCGACGAAATATTTGGTATATCATAGCGAATATTCGGCATATTACTAATCACTATAATGAATTTACTGAATAGTTCGTTAAAAATTATTATTTTAATTTTACATGAATAAATTACGCGAATTTAAAATTTTAACATGAAATTTTGTTATATCACTATATGAATATTTTTGAAGATAGAGTAGAAATTTTTTCAAACAAATTTTTTCCTTTTGTGCCGTTATGGGTGGTTTATGTTTCCTATGAAATTCATTAAGTTGCTTATTACTATTATTTATTATAGGTTTTACAGGATGGACTTTCAGCATTTTTAAAAATAGCTAGAGTAAAAAAACAGCAGTAAGTTATGAGCGTATTCATTACTTATTAATTTTATGTGTTGTTACAGTGAGAAAATGTTAGTTCTTTATAGTAAGTTTATTTCGCAAAAATTCTTTGGTATATTCGTAAATTTTGAAAATAAATCAGTATAAACAACAATTCTTCATTATATTCGTAAAAAAAATCAGAAAAAATTTGTTAATTTTTTTCATATATCAAAATCCGTATCACGCCTAATATTCGCTATATCATAAATTTCTATATGCAAAAGCTCTACTAGTATATATAGCGTCATATAAAGTTGAGATGTTTGATATTTCTTTAGCTTCTTCAAATGCTGCTTTAATTTCTTTTCCTTTATAACCACAATATTCTAGAGAATTTACAATCGAGCTATACAAAAATTGAAATATTTATTTTAATCCTTTAGCTGGTGGTCTTTCAATTGAATTAGAATTCATACGTTTATAAGCTAATTTCTTATAACATTCAGAAGTTCCCTTTCCAAATTCTGGTCTTAGTCCACTACATATTGCTAAGTTTTTTTATTGTAAAATGATAGTTTTCCTGATGGTAATTCAGCCATAACTACACCTAGACTATAAATATCGGACGGTGATGTATATGATTCTCTATTAAGACTTCTGGTGCAATATATGAATGGCGTTACTACATATACTTTATCATCTGATATTTGTTCATTTGCTAGTCCTGATAATCCAAAATCTGAAATATAAGATATAACCTCATCAGCTTGTAAGATATTTTCACTATGAAAATATGTAATTTCATTAAGGTTTATTGATATTTGACGCAGTCAATTTTATCTATTCATAAAATATTGTTAAAATTATTTGAAAGACGATTTCACAAACTTCCTTTATCAGTAAATTGTATAATCATCATCATAAATTTTTTAGTATCCGGATTATTAGTTATTCCGTACAATGTTAATCCATATTCTTTAAACGTATTCCAATGTATTTTAAGCTATAATTTTTAAATAAATTATCATTAATAAAAATATAATAATTAAATTAATAATAACATTATAAAAACGTACTAATTTTGATTTACCATCTGTCCATATTGCAGAATATACTTTGGAAAATCCACCTTCATCAATTTCTTTTATATCTATAAATCTATCAAATGAAACCATTCAAGAACCATCTTTTCTTGTATTATATATTGTATCTTTTATAAACTTGTCAACGTCCGAATTTCCACTGGTCCATCCTTCCATCATTAGTTCTAAGTGAGTCACAATTGTTACACCATGATTCCTCAATAAAAGGTTTACAATATGAAAATGTTTGGCGGAGTCTCCATTTGAGATATTTAATTTATTTAAATAGAGTTTCCATTGGGTCATTTTCGAAAATTAATTTCACTTGATATATATTTTTTTATTATTTTTTATTTGTTTTACTAATAAGGAATATTTTAACCAATGGTGGAAGTTATTCCGATCATTGATACCCTATTTCGGATCATTTTTTTCCAATTCATTGATCTGTTATGATTTCATGGCTGTGGATTTTTTTAATGATTCTATACTAAATTAAATCAAATAATAAAGCACATCAAATTTTGACATTTTTAATATTAATATATTATTATAAATAACGTATATATTTTGTAAATCGTTGATTTTCACGTTAATGAAAACTGCGCATTGTTCGTTCCTCCAGAAGAAAAAATAAATCATTAATTTTAGGAGAATCTAGAAAATTGAAATAAAGTTTTTTACTATTGATATTACCATTTATTTTCCAATAATCGTCGTAAAATTCTGCGTCTAGTACTGAACGAATACGATAAAACATAAATTTTGTTTACAAGCAAGTCGTAATTAAAAATAATTCATAAGGGTATACCAGTACAGGATTATACTAATATTATTTTCTTATTATCTAGTAATTAAATACTAAACTGTGCTGTACTATAATGAAATAAATTTAATAATACAATTGTAAATTTTGATTTTAATGTTTTATTAAAACAATTAGGTTGTAGAATTTAGGACCTTTTAATATTGATTAATAAAAGTTATCAATTGTAAACTGATAAAATATTAATTATGTATCTGCTTTGTCAATAACATATTTGTTATTACTATACTTCAAATGATGATGGTTCCATTTCAGCCGAAATTTTTGTAAATTCCGGGGAATAAACCAAAATTATACCTCGTGATGGAATACCGATGTTATGTTCGTGAAATTCGTATAATTTTGAAAAATAATTTATTATAAATTGATAGCAGTAAGTTTGAAATGTAAATACATCTTTAATAAAATTGGTATTATTTTAGAATGTAGATTCAAAGACATCAATATTTTCAATTGAACAATCAGTACAAAATGTTTAATCAAACTAAAATTAGTCATATTTTCAATAGATTGAACGTAGCTAGACGTGGTAATATTCATTCTAGCCGTGAAAATAATATCTTTGTTCCTTTAATGAACGTTAATATCCAAGAACGTAGTTATGGTTGTTTCATTCGTAGTATCTCATTACCACCGAATGTAAAATCAGATGATATCACAGCTGAAACTTCCTAAGAGCTTTTCTAAATCACTATTTGATATAATAGGTATAAAGATGTAATGGGTAGATGAAATAGAAAAGAAAAGAACAAAGGATGATAAAAGAAGATATAAAGCAATACAAGATAAAGAAGATGAAATGACATTTAGGAAATAAAATGCAGAAAAAAAAAGAAAAAAAAATTTAAAATAGAAAATACTAAAAAAAAATTAATCAACAATAGTTCATGTACCGACGTACGTAGAAAATATTACGTAGTTAGCGTAAAAATCTAGTTACGACGCTAGTGATAAATATAGGATAAAGTTAATCATTTAAAGTCTAAGTAAATATAATTTGTATTTTACAAATTATACTTTATAAAGAAATGTTTATATTTATTAGAAAGAATTAAAATTGATCGTATTTGATTTAATTATGTGTTAAATAGTATAATTTGTGGTCGAAATTATATTATTTTACGTTTAAATTATCTAACGAGCCAATAAGACACTATTTAGGATTTTCCGTTCCGTTCCTTAAAATTATCATTTCACCATAATTTGTCATTGATGATCATTTTGATATGAAAAGTTAAAAATGTGGTACAACATTTCACCAATCATTTGTAAAAAATGTACGACATTTCACAAACCATTTATACTAACATTTAATTACCGTTTTTGTAAAAAAAATAATTTTTTTTTTTTTTTTTTTTTTTTTTTTTTTTTTTTTTTTTTTTTTTTTTTTTTTTTAAGAAAAAGAAGAATGCCCAAACTATACAAAGACATCCTTTATTTAATATTTCAAGAATTACAAGATAATAAAGAAACTCTTTATTCTTGTCTTTTTGTTGATAAAACATGGTGTGAAACAATTATTCCAATTTTATGGAAAGACCCATGGAAATTCTTAAAGAATGGTTGTAAATTACGAAAAAGAGAATTATTATTAAATTTAATTAATTCGAATTTATCGGATGAATCAAAAAATAAATTAGGTCAATACTTTAATTTTTCATATAAGAAACCTTTATTCAATTACGTTAGTTATTGTAAACATTTAAATTTAATAGAAATCAAAAAGATTATTAATAATGATACATTAATCATTCAATTAGAAATAATCAATCTTCTTATTAATGAAAATACAAAATTTACTCATCTTTATATACCTAAACAATTTAATTATCAAATAAATCTTTTCCCTGGGTTTCAAAATTGTTTTTCAAATATTGTATTTCTTAGTTGTAGTTCCAATATAGGTGATAATGTTTTGGATGGTTTATCAAAAATTTGTAAATCAATTAAAGAATTGGAACTTATTATTGATGAGAATAATAATAATTGTGATATTATTAAATTAATTGATATTCCTACAAATTTAATTAATGTTCGTTTATTAATTAAATATGACTTTTATATTCATATTAATTATGAACCATTTCATAAAATTCTTGAAAAATCTTTAATGAAACATTCAAATACTATACGTTATCTTAAGATAACTAAACAACCTACTTTAATGATTCTTTCATCTTTTATTTATTTAATAAGATTAGAATTGGATTGTAGTTGTCTTGGTAGTCGTCATTATCAATGGAATTGTTTGGAAAATTTATCTTTACCTTTTTTACAAATTTTAAAAGCAAGATATGTTCCAATCAAACCTATAACAAATTTAATTGAAAATACAAGTGGTTCTCTTGATGAAATAAAAATTGATTATACTTATCATAGTGAGAATGATAATAAAAGAATTATTCAAGTTATTTATCATAATTGTTCAAATCTTAAATATCTTACTTTAGTAATTAAAAGTAATAATCTTATTGAATTAGAAAAATTATTAATTACTTGTAAATATTTAATTAAATTAAATATTCTCACTGATGATAGAGTATTTGATTGGAATAATTTATTTGATTTATTAATTAGATTATCTCCAATTACTTTATATAAATTTAAATTTTATAATTCTTATGTATCTCCTGATTTAGATTCTTTAAAATTATTTTTAGATAATTGGAAAGGTAGAAATTCTTTATTATTAAAATTTAATATGGATATTAATGATGAATATTCTGATTTAATAGAAAAATATAAAGCAGAAGGTGTAATTAATAAATTTGATTATTATTCTTAGATCTTAGGTTTATTAAATAAATAAATAACGATTATATTAATAATAATTGTTGCGTTTATAATGGTAATAACGTTATATTACATAAATTAAGAATTTAGCATTATCGAATTTATTTATTTATTTTATGTCAAGCAGGCAGCGGTTAAAGTAAAATTATATTACAATCAGAAAGTAAGTATAGTCCCTATAAGAAATATGTATACGGAAAGGATACGTTTTGTATACATTTTTTGTACGTTTCTATAGATTCCGTATACAAATTCCGTATATTTAATAAGCAATTCATTTTTGAACATCTTTTAAAAAAACTAATGTATAAGAAATGTATACGGAAAAAATTAATCATGCGGAATGTATACGGAATTTTTAAACTTAATATTTTTAGAAGATAATTT